ATGGAGGAGACGTCCTCGGCCTCGAGGGTCGACGGAGGCAGTAACTATCTCTGCCTCGGCGGGCGGCGGATGCAGGCCGGCGGAAGGTGGCGGGAGGCAGAACGAGGCCAGCTCCGCCGGCGACAGCGGGCGGGGAGTCGGCGGAAAAAGACCTCGGCCTCCCACGAGGTGGCAAGGTTTTCTGCTTCATGGTGTCTGGAAGCCGCCAGCAGCGTGTGCGTGGGCCCTCCCCCCATGGGCGACGCGGGCGCTCTCGCAGAGGGTCTCGCAGCAGGCGCTCGGTGGCGAGCGCTTCCTGTCCGTACCGCCTGGGGCGACGGCGCGGCATGGCATGTTTGTCCCTGGTGGTTCGTTTCCACAGGGGGCCGCATTGTACTACGGTCCCGCTTGTGATCAAGGAACCTCCCCCCGGGAAGCTGGCCCAGCGTTTCTGCACCAACTTGCGGGGAAGCTGGCTCAGCGTTTCTGAAGGGGATTGGCAGCCTCGGATCCTGGAAATGAGTAATGTGCGTTCCTGGCTCACAAGCTGGCCCAGCGTTTCCTTAAGGAACTTCAGCTTTCTGAATTGCAATTTTTCTCGATCGTATTCTTGACTTTCGTATCTCCTTCTGCGTCCCACAGGCCGCCGACGCCACCGCCATCCTGAACGCCCAGCGTCCCCCGGAGATGAGCGAGAGCCGCGCTGGCGGCTCTGGCGCAGGCGGCGTCGGCACCAAGGAGGCCCACCTCGCCGGCTGCCGCCCCGCCGCGCCGCTCTCCCCCGAGAGCTCCAGCCCTCCGTCCCTTTCGCCCTCCGCCCCCCTCTGGAGGAGGAGGAGGAGGAGGAGGAGGAGGAGGAGGAGGAGGAGGAGGAGGAGGAGGAGGGAGGAGGAGGAGGGAGGAGGAAGCGGAGGAGGAGGAGGAGGAGGAGGAGGAGGAGGAGGGAGGAGGAGGAGGAGGAGGAGGAGGGAGGCGGCGGAGGAGGAGGAGCCCCTCCCGGCCCTCGTCTTCCCCCCCCCCGCGCGTCCAGGGAAGGGGGGGCGGCCGCCCAGAGCTCCGAGGCGCCGAGGAGGATTGGAGCAGCTGGTAATCGTCTCTCTTCGGGCTCCCGGGGGCCCCCAGGAGGCTCCAGGAGGCTCCAGGAGAGCCCAGGAGGGCCCAGGAGAGCCCAGGAGGGCCCAGGAGGACCCAGGAGGCTCCAAGAGGCACCAGGGGGCCCAAGGAGGGCCCAGGAGAAGCTCCAGGAGGCTCCAGGAGAGCCCAGGAGGGCCCAAGAGGTCCAAGGAAGACCCAGGAGGGCCCAGGATCAACGGGCCCCGGGACCGTCAACGTCAAGAAGGACTCAGGACAAACCGGCCCCAGAGAAGTTGTCCAGACCATCGGGGGTCGACGCATCGAAATTGCAGCGCCGGAAGAGAGACCAGCTTTGAACGGCGCGGAGAAGATTCGCACGGCACCCTGCGCAAGGATGGCGCGCACACATCGGGAAGTGCGTGCGCTTGTTTCGGCCACGCGCGATGAAAAGCAGGAACATGTGCACCGCCTCTGCCTGCGTCAGCTCGGGCTCGCCTGGGGCCAGCGACCTGGTCTGGTGCAAGTGCGCCCCCCCTTCGTGGCACCGAGCTCCGGGCCCAGGATCGCCGTGAACGGTCCTGCCGTCGGCATGCAGCTGTTATCCTTCTCCTCGGGTGTGGGCGACGGGGCTCGACGGACCCTGCGACATCTCTCCCTCTGCTTCGCCGCAGCGTCCACGACATCAGCTGCGACGCTCCTCGCCTCCCGCCTCCCCCCGTGCGTCCGGCACTCCTCTCCCGCAGCCCTCGCCATCAACTGCCGCGGTCCGCCTGCTCTCCCGGCCTCCTCCTCCGCACGCCTCCTCCTCCTCCCAGGCGCCGTGAGACACGGCCGTCTCTCCTCCTCCTCCCCCTCCGCCTCCTCCTCCTCCTCCTCCTCCTCCTCCGCCTCCCTCCTCCTCCTCCTCCTCCTCCTCCTCCTCCTGCTCCGCCTCCCTCCTCCTCCTCGTCCTCCTCCTCCTCCTCCTCCTCCTCCGCTTCCTCCTCCTCCTCCGCCTCCTCCTCCTCCTCCTCCTCGTTCTCCTCCTCCCCCTCCTCTTCCTCCTTCTCTCATTCTTCCAGGCGTTGCTTCCCCCTGAGGTCGCAAGTTGCCGTTGCCTTCCTACCGAAGAGCCCCATGTGGTCCTAGGAGGAAAGCCCCCGACGAAAGAAGCCGAAGCAGAGTCTGGGGCGAACCACCAAACTCCGAAACGCGTCGTGCGAGCGAGACCTCAGAACTTGTTCGGAGAGAACAAAGATGAGTAGAAGGATGAGGAGGCTGTTTTCAGGAGGGGAAAAACACACAGACACAATTCATCGTCGATTCCCTTGAAAATATGGGAAGTGGGGGGGAAGACGAAAACCAAGAATATATGGGAAAATGTGGGGAATCCTTTTATTTGTGTCTGTTTATTTGTGTATCCCAGGGCCCCTTCATATATTCTGTTCGCTCAGATTCGGCCCCAGTGTAGTGAACGGCATTCTATGCTGTTCTGTTTTGTCCTGGACGGGCCAGCGTGGCGACGTGACGCCTGTCACGCTGGATACGTCGTCCGATCGGTCGTTGCTGCGCCTGCTCGTTCCTGTGGCCAGCCTGGCTTCGGCGCGCAGGTCGCGTTTGATCATATGGTGGTACGGCCGATTCTGTGTGGATGTTTGTTGAATGGGACGCTGTGCTCGTGATTCGTGATGCGCGTGCTCGATCCGATCGATGCGAGCCTATACAGAGTCAGCGCGCCTAGGAAGGACGCGCGCCTTTTCTAGGGGACCCTTGTGTCCTTGCCTCTGCGGCCCGTCCTTTGCCGTTTCCACCGTGGTTTTGGCCGCCACCGCCAACAAAAAACCTGGTCGTGCTCGTGGACGAGGCGGCCTGCCCCGGTGCTCGTGTTCGATCCGATCGATCCGAGTCCATATCCCAGAAGCCGGAATAGAAAGCGATACTTTCGCCCCTCTGCGAGGAAAGGGACAACTTGACGGAGGAGCGGAGGCCCTCCGTAAGGGAGGGGCTCGTCCTCCCATTCCGCTTCCTCCTGCTTCTCGACCTGGCACCGCTCCCGCTCCTCCACGCTCATCGCCTCCGCGTTCCCTGCCCCGGCCCACTCCGCTTCGGCTGCGAGGCTCCGACGATGCGAGGCTGCCCGCTGCCCGCGTGGCGCTGCTGGGCATCCCGGCGCCAGCGATCCGAGTCGACGTCGAGCCGGGAGTTGCTGGAAGTGCCCCTGGCCCAAGGTGCCCCCGGGTTACCGCTCCACTTTGGAGCCCCTGGGGCCCTCTGGGCCTCGTGAGGGGTGCTCTGGAGGCCGTTCGGGCTACCCCGAGCATTCGGGGGGCGCCTTGGCCCAGGGGCACTTCTGGCAGCGCCCGATCGAGAGCTGGTGCCGAGGCCGCCCGAGCTGCCGCGCGGCTCGGCTCGAGCCGACTCCCCCGACGCGAGGCCGGCCTCGGCTGCCAGCGGGCGCGGGGGGGGGTCGTCAGGCGGGCCCGGGCTCCGGGTCCGCCGCGCAGCCCTCCGTATTGCCCAGGGCTCCGGCGCTCCAGCAACAGATCGGGTCGCGGCGGGGTTTTGGCGGTGTGCGGCCTCGGGGGGGACCTTCGCCGGGCCTCGGCAGCGTCAAAAGACGGTTCAGGATGAAGAACCGGTCCTGGGGAAGTGGTCTTATGTCGGGCGTGTCCCCTCTACGGGGGGATTTTCGACGAAACATAAAAAATACCCGAAAAGTACCCCAAAAAGGTGAAAAAATGCTCAACAAATAGTCCCCAGACTAGTTTTGGACTATTCTTGGATTATTTTTGGGGTATTATTTATTCTTCGTTGACAATCCCCCTGCAGGGGGGCAGGCCCGACTTAAAAAAGTGGTCTGGGCTTCCGGGGCCGACGCATCAGCAGGAATCGGACCGGCCAGATTGTCTGGGTACCCGGGCCCCTTCGCAGCGCGAGAAGCCGCGACGGGAGGCGCTCTGCCACGCTCGGCCTCTGGGGGCCCTCGCTGGGCCCCAGACCCGTCAACACACGAGTCAGGAGGAGGAGCCAGACTTCTCATCGAGGATCAGAGAGCCCGCAACCCTGAGAGCACAGTGAAGACGTGTCCTCACTGAGGTGTTCCAGTCTTCGCACGGGGGGATCAGAGTGCTGGGCGGTTCGGTTCGGTGGAGCGGCAGAAAAAGAGCTCCTGTTCCTAACGGGATTGGCCCTGCGAGCTCAGGTCCCCTCCCAAAGGGGCTGGGGGCCACTCTTGGTCAGTCGTCGCAGCGCGTGGGTCGAGCCCTCCGAGGGTCCAGGTTTCGAGAAGATCGTGACGTCTGGGCTCTGGGCTCGGAGAGTTCCTCGGGGCGCTCTGGAACGGCCGGCCGCGGCGCCCGGCGCCGTCGTCCAGCACGCGTCCCCCGGCGCATGCCTTCCATATGAAGGCTGCGTTCCCTCGATCCTCCTCCTCCTCCTCCTCCTCCTCCTCCTCCTCCTCCTCCTCCTCCTCCCCCTCCTCCTCCTCCCCCTCCCTCTTCTCCCTCTTCTCCTCGTGATGCGCGCGGGGGCACGCCGAACCCCGCATCCCCAGGCGCCCAGTGGCGCATGCTTTCAATTCCTCCGTCTTTTCTCGATCCTCCTGCCAGTGCTCCGCCACCCAGCGTGACAGCGCGTGCAGTGCGTATCAGGGCAGCTTGCCCTGCGTTCGCTGGCATTCTTCGTTCCTTCTGCACGTGCTCCGCCAGCTGGCGTGGCAGCGCGTGCGCTGTATTTCAAGGCAGCTTTGTGCCGTCCTCCGCGAATTCGCGCCCCTCCCACACGTGCTCGGCCAGACCGGCCAAGAAAAACAAAAAGTACGGCCCGATACTGGTCTGAGCTGGGCTTCGTCTTGGGGGTGGGGCTGGGGTGCGCCCGGGAGCGGCCTGCTTGTGCAGGGGTGGAGGCAGTCGTCGTCGTCGTCGTCGTCGTCGTCGTCGTCGTCGTCGGCGTCGGCGTCGGCGTCGGCGTCGGCGTCGGCGACGGCGTCGGCGTCGGCGTCGGCGTCGGCGTCGGCGTCGTCGTCGGCGTCGGCGTCGGCGTCGGCGTCGGCGTCGTCGTCGTCGTCGTCGTCGTCGTCGTCGTCGTTCTCGTCGCCGCTCGGCGGAGGCAGCAGGGATGGATACAGCCCGTGGATGGCGGCATGTTGCGCGCCGTCGCGGAGTAGCCGCCCCGTCGACGGTGCGGGCGACTGGGTCCACCGGTTGCGTGTCGTGCTCTGTGTGCCAAGTGCGCCCCTGCTGGTGCCACCTGGCCGCAGGTGGTGTGGGAGGGCCGCGCCGCGTTGATGCGGCGGCGTCAGGGTCCAACGCCTCTGGTGGCCTGGGGGGTGACTTTATCGGGAGGCCGTGATCGTTCGACGGTCCAGGCATCGACTACACGTAGGAGTGACTCCTCACTTGGGTGGCCTCTGGTGCTGGCACACTGGGATCTCCCGATCGTTGCACGCGATGCGATGGCAGCGGCCTGCGCACAGGGGTTTGGCTCCCTCGCGCCCCCCCAAAGCCGGCCGCGCACCAAAGGTCACTCCTGTCTAGGGTCACTTTTAATCATGTATGTATGTCGCTGTGAAGAGGGATGGAGGTAGTTGGACAGCGACAGAGGGAGAGTTATACATAGTTGCAGGATTACGCACGTACGTTTATATATGTACAATGTTCGGCTCAGCTAAGTATACATGTATTGAGACTCAGTCATGTAACCAAATGTGTACGTGGATAATGTTATAGGCAGTATAAGCAAACACGGGAAGTGGGACGGTACACAGAGACGTCTTTGGATCCAAGTGGATTGTCGGGGGGTTTCTCAAGTTGTGAATGGTGAGGCCGTGCTGAGAGCCACACATTTGGAAACAGTGTTTCGCCGCATATGCCGTCGCTTGGATCACCTCTGGTTCTTAGGTTGGAAGCCTCGTAGAGATATCGACCCGTTCGTCATATGGTCGAAACGCGAGTTCAACGTCACGGCCGACTATTTGGTCAATGTCGCTATGGACAACCAGCAGAACCTCGCACTTCAAACCGACCTGGTCCAACGCCATATGGAGAGCCAAGGTAGCATGAAGATCTGCATCGACGGTGGTCTTCGTGAAGCCTGCGGCCGGGATGGACACCGACTGGCAGCTATCGGCATGGCCGTGTACGGGGTGGAGCAAGGCGTCTCCGACGCGGCGACGTACACGATCCTAGGTACCAGTGCGGAAACGATCAGTGGTGTGACATCTGCGTTTCAAACAGAGACGCTGGCTCTGGACTGGGCGCTCGAGTACATCTCAAATGCTCGCAATGGCTGACGCGGAAGCCCGGCCACACTCTGCGCTACAGGTCATTGTTTCGCTTGAATTTGCCACGCTGTAACTTTACCATTAGCTGCAGTCACTTAGTTCCTCCTTTTCCTCCTGCCCTCTCTCCCTCCCCGTGATGTGTTTGTGCTTTACGCTGTGGAGCCGCAGCAGCTTTTTTCCCATGCTCACGGTTGTTGGCCCTCGGGGTCGCTATGAGCCAGCCGTTGTCGTAGCACACGTATCTAGCTTCAGTGCACGCGCGCGACAGTGCCAGCGGACGTACGAAAGAAAGAAAGTATAAGCAAACACCAAAAACATCGTATAGCCAGATACAGAGAGATAGAGGACAGCACCACTCACACGTAAGTGCCTGTACACAAATGTGTAACTTTATGTGTGTGTATACAGAGAAGCGAGAGACGGTACGGTCCGCGGTGCGGGTTCTCCACGACGCCCATGCTCAGACGATGCAGGCCCTGCCCTCCTTCACCAGCAACGATCTCTTGGACCTCTCGCAGACAGCTCTCCACGACCTCTTCCGTGCCGCCGATGGGCCTCGGGTTCTTGAACATTTACTCCGGCGGCGTTGGTTTTCTCGTTGGGCCGCTTACTTCCAACACGGGGTGCCGACCGGAATCGCTGTGAGACGGGCGTGCTGGTGCGTTTCCAAGCATGCCCCCTTAGTCCCGCCTTTGCTCAGGTTTGTTGTCGCTTCCACGTGGCTGAATGGCTGGTGCACGGCACGCCGCTTTCAGGGTTGTGCCAGTTGCCCTTTTTGCCGTGGAGCCTCGGACTCGCTGGAACACCTGGCCAGATGCCGAGTGGTCAGAGCCCTTTTCGGTCACTACCTCGGTGCGGCCCACCGGGCCCTTCTTGATTTCCTGGGGCTTCACACTGACTTCGGGGCCTCGCACGGCAGGCGTTCGGACTCCACGCCACTAAGGCGGTTGTAGAGGCCACCCGGCTCAATCCAGGCTTTGCTGCTCGGTATTCCGCCACTGCGCGTTTCCGGGCCGACTTGCAGGAATCGGCTCGCAAATGGCCCGATGCGGCGAAACGCCTCCGTACACTGGCCATTCCAGGCCAGTAGCCACCAACAGTGTGTGGCCGCCGACACTTTACATTCTCAGGGTGTAAGCGTCCAGCTTGTAGGGCGGGGATGATGCAATAGTGGATGTAAGTGAGGAATACCACGCCTCTCACATGCAATCGTTTTCTCCGCCAGTGCTTCCCGCCTGTGGTGTACTGCTACAGCAGCGTCATGCATTGTGGAAAAGCACAGAAAAGCGAGAGAGACCGATACACATTTACAAGTTCAAACATACAACATATTTGACCCTGTATGCATATACATACATGTATATATACACATATATGTATGAATATAAAAGTGTACGTCTATTCAAAGAGAGGTAAACCGATAGGGATGACTTGAAACACACATGCATGGAAATGCATATATATATATATATATTTACATTGAACTATCGAACGGGGAGAACGAGAGAGAGAGAGAGAGAGACAGAAAGAGATATATATATAGAGAGAGAGAGAGAGAGAGAGAGAGAGAGAGAGAGAGAGAAAGAGAGAGAGAAGGAGAAATAACGAGGGGGAGGGAACGAAAGGGAGAGAGAGAGTGAGAGAGAGAGAGAGAGAGAGAGAGAAAGAGAGAGAGAGAGAGAAAGAGATAGAGAGAAAGAGAAAGGGTGAGAGAGGGAGCGCGGCCGGGAAACAGGAACCATAAACCGGGAATCGCCGGAGCAGGAAACCGGGAACCGGGAACGGGGAACTGGGAACCGGTAGCCGGCAATTGTCAGCCGGGGGTCCATGAACCGGGAACCGGGAACCGGGAGCTGGGAACCAGGAGCTGGGAACTCGTCGACTACAGGGCCTTACTTCCTCCTCCTCCTCCTCCTCCTCCTCCTCCTCCTCCTTCTTTCGGGGAAACGTAAGACCCGAGTAAGCCGGAACTCGGGTTAGCCGAAGCTTTTTGATGAGCGCGTCCAGGATTTTGACGGTCCGGTTTTCGTGGGATGTCTGCAGCGGGAGCCCGCGTCAAATTTCAGATTGGATTTCGTCCTTTTCATGAGGCCCCCGTCAGGCCAACCCGAGTCCCCCGTGCCCGAGTCTTACGTCTCCCCGATCCTCCTCCCCCTCCGCCTCGAGACGTCGTCGGTGCCGCCGCCTCCGCACCGCCCCGTGTCCCGCAGGCTGTGGCCGCCCGGGTCGCGGCGAGGCGAGCCCCCTCGCAGGGGGGGGGGGGACCCCGCGGGGTGCGCGCCGGCTGCGCGCGGGGCGCTCTCCAGGAGGGGCCTCGCCTCCGCGGGTCGGCGGCGCTGCCGTCTCCTCCTCGGCGGCGGGCGGCGGGAAGGCCGGCTTTGCCGGAGGAGGAGGAGGAGGAGGAGGAGGAGGAGGAAGAGGAGGAGGAGGAGGAGGAGGAGGAGGAGGAGGAGGAGGAGGAGGCGGAAGTGACGAGTGGCGCTCCATCTTCCTGAGGCATCGCCGTCGCGAGTTTGACTCGCTTTCCTCTCTCGTCGTCCTCCGCCTCTCTCCCTCCTGCCCCTCCCCCCGCCGGCTCGACCGCTGTTCGCTCGGAGTGGGGCTCCGAGAGCATGGCCGGACTTTCAGGATGTCTCAGTTTCGGTATGGGTGCTTCCTTAGGTTGCCCTGGTGCCAGTTTTGACGGCTCGCGTGGTCATCGGTTCTATCCGCTTCGTCCACTCAGCCTCCCTCCCTCATTCTCCTCCATCGACAGTCGGGTTCAGGGCTTCTGGAACCAGCCACGGATTTCGGAGGCCGCCAGAAGGCCAAACCCAAGCGCATAATTAGGCCGCCATTGTCGCATCGCGTGCAACGATAGGCAGGCCGTGCACCAACTGTCGCGGTTGCCCGGGGGCACTCCTCGCATGCAGCCGGCCAAGGTGGCCCAGATCTCCAACGTATTTGATCGAGGATCGCGGATCGCAGATCGAGGATCGAACGCGGCGTTTTTGGATCGAGGATCCAGGATCGAGGCTCGAGGCTTTTGGGCATCTTCTGCCTCCACCCTGGAATTCTGGCCACGACTCATCCCAGGAGAGGTTTCATATTCGACTCTTCTGGCCCAGACACCCACGTCTTGGCAAGATCAACGCGAAAGTTTCACTGCGGACGAATCTGTGCTTTCGGGCCGCACCTCGGGCCTCCAGTGGCTGTTCGGGACGATCGTGGCAAACCCTGGAACGCCCCTGGCGAGGCGCAGCTGCCGGAACGCATCAGGCGAGGAAGCCTTTGAGAACCAGCGAAAGCCTCCGAAAACGACGCCCTAAGAGCCACTTCTGCCTGGGGTCACCTCCTGCGTGTGCACTGCGAGTGTGCCCCCAGACATTCGACGATCTGACTTTGTCGATCCGCGGCCCCTGCCCAGGGGCCCCGACCCCTGCCCCTGGCACGGTTTTTTCGCCCCAGGTTTGTTTTTTGATGGCCCTGGGGCACGATAGCGGCCCCCGAGGGCCGAAATGGAGGAAACGCCGCTGCCTCCTCCTCCTCCTCCTCCTCCTCCTCCTCCCCTCCTCCTCCTCCTCCTCCTCCTCCTCCTCCTCCTGCCCCTTGGTTGAGCAGCATCATCTCATCCGAGATCCCCAGTCGAAGAAGCTCCGCCGAGCGTGGCTCCCCGCAGGCGCGCTGGCGGCGGCGCCGCCGCGGGAGGCGGGACGCCCCGACCGTGCTGCGAACGTCTTCCCTCAGCGCGGCTGCGCTGCCCTCGTGGGGGCGCCGCCGAGGGTCGAGGGGGATCGAGGGTCGAGGAGGAGGGTCGAGGAGGATCGAGGATAATCGAGGTCGATGGAGGAGGAGGAGGAGGAGGAGGAGGAGGAGGAGGAGGAGGAGGAGGAGAAGAGGCGGGGAGGAAGAGGAGGAGGAGGATTGCTGCTGCTGCTGCTGCTGATGATGATGATGATGATGATGAGATGATGATGATGATGAGAGGAGGAGGAGGAGGAGGAGGAGGAGGCGGAGGAGGCGGAGGAGGAGGAGGAGGAGGAGGAGGAGGAGGAGAGGAGGGAGGAGGCGGAGGAGAAGGAGGAGGAGGAGGAGGAGGAGGAGGAGGAGGAGGAGGAGGAGGAGGAGGAGGAGGAGGATTGAGGAGCATGGAGAATCGAGGAGGACCGATGCCCTCGATCTTCGCTCCTCCTCGATCCTCGATCCTCGTCGCGTCCACGGTCCAGGGTGTCCCCAGGGCTTCTTGAGAGCAGCTTGTGATCTTGAGGCCCTCGAGGTTTCCGTATCCCTGTTGGGCGTCTCGGCCGGCCCTTGCCGCGGTGCCCCTTGGTCCTCGCCTCGCTCGCTCTTCGCCCCCCTCGTCGGCCCCCGCTTCGTTCTGGCCTGTTGTTGTACAGTCAAGACACTGAAACAAGGCCCGCTTTGGGGTTCGGAAGGTGCTCGCTGTTCCCTCGGCCATTCCGTGATGGTTCCTCTCGCCCTTATCGTGCGTGCACACAGGCTCGCTTGGTGCCACAAAGGGGTTTCGTTCCTTCTTTATCGTTCTTTATTGCATCAGCTCGGGTGCCACAAAGGAGTTTCGCTCCTTCTTTAGCGCTCCTTATTGCAACAACTTGGTTGTCTTTACGTGAGGGGGAGCTGATGCTAGACGTCAGCCCACGCCTCCCGCGACCTCCAGATCATTCCTCGCGACCTCAGAGGGCCCCAGGGGCTCCAACACAAGAAGGATAGCGACAAGTTGCGGGCACCTTCTGCCATGATCACCTTCATCAGCCCCCGCCCCGTTCGCTTCCCGCTGGCAGTCCACACAACTGTGCCGCCACCGCCGCAGCGGTGCTGCTGCCACGAACCCTCACCACGAAACCTAATGCAGTAGGCCTGCCAGCAGGTGTGTACGATGGTGCAGGCCTGGCCAGTGGCAACACCTACATAGCTCTACCTCTCACCTCACTGTGCGCTGCCCTTACGGCGCACGAGACTCTGGGGGGCATCCCGACTCATAGTGCGGGCGCTCTCCCCCAGGGGGGTGGGCACATGCGGACAGGCTCAGTGCTACGATCATCCCTCTTTTAGCAGGTGCACCGTGGAAGCTTCTTATCCCCCGATGGCCCGGGGGACCCACAGAAGCTCTGGGTCTCCCTGGGCTCCTCGGAGAGCTCTGGGTCTCCCTGGGCTCCTCACAGACGCGCCAACACTTTTCTCACGCCTCGATCTCTTCCTATGTGTGCATACCGTGGGCGCGCCCTGCTTGCAGCACTCCGCCGCGCACGCTGTGGCAACACCCACGCGGTCCGAGGGGGCCGCCGTCCTTCCCTCCTCCTCCGCGGCCGCCGCTCGCCTCCTCCTCGCTCCCACGCTGGCGCGGGCCAGCTCTGCAGCGGCCGTGCCAGGCCCGACCGACTCGCTCGACCGCCGAGCCTGCGACAAAAGGGCGCCCACGCGAGTTTGTTTGTTTGTTTGTTAGTGAGTTAGTTTGCTTGTTTGTTTGTTTGTTTGTTTGTTTGTTTGTTTGTTTGTTTTTTTATACATATAAATCTGGCCCGTAGCGTCCGTTCCCTTGGGGGGTCGGACCCAGGCGCCGCGCGACGACGACAACAACGACGACGAGGACGACAATGACGAAGGCGGGGACGACGACAAGGACGACGATGACGACGACGACGGCCGCCTCTGAAGATCTCGGGAGGTCCTCGGAGGCATAAGGAAGTCCCTGGAGACTTCTGGAGGCGTCTGGAGGCCCTTCGAGGCCCTCGGCGACGACGCCGACGAGGGCGACAACGACGACGACGACGACGGCGACGACGACGGCGACGACGACGACTAGGACGAGGATGAGGAGGACGACGACGACGAGGACGAGGACGACGACGACGAGGACGAGGACGTGGACGAGGGCGACGACGACGACGGTGACGACGGCGACGATGGCCGCCTCGGAAGGTCTACAGAGGTCTCAGGCCTGCGACGACGACGACGACGACGACGACGACGACGACGACGACGACGACGACGACGACGACGACGACGACGACGACGACGACTACTACGGCGCCGACGCCGACGCCGACGACGATGACGGCGGCGGCGACAACGACGAAGACAACGAGAAAGACGACGACGAGGACGAGGACGAGGAGGAGGAGGAGGAGGAGGATGACGACAACGATGAAGACGACGTCGACGACGATAACGATAACGACGACGAGGACGAGAGCAAGGACGACGACGACGATAACGATGACGACGACGAGGAAAAGGACGGGGACGACGAAGTCGACGAGGACGACGATGACGAGGACGAGAACGAGAGCAAAGACGACGACGACGACGATGAAGACAGACGATCACGAAGATGACGACGACCACGACCGACTCTGAAGGTCTTTAGAGGTCTCCATGAAGCCTCAGCGGGTTCCTGGAGGCCTTTGGAGGCGTCTGGATGCCCTTCGAGGCCCTTGGAAAAGACGACGAGGACGTGGACGAGGGACGACGACGAGGACCACGACGACGACGACGACGACGACGACGCTGACGACGACGATGACGACGGCGACGATGGCCGCCTCGGAAGGTCTACAGAGGTCTCCGGAGGCCTCAGGAGATCTCCGAAAGCCTGTGGAAGCGTCTGCAGGCCCTTCGCGGACACGACGATGACGACGACGATGACGACGACCGCCTCTGTAGGCGTCTGGAGGCTCTCCTGTGCTTGTCAGCACCACGCCATGTCAGGGAGCCTGGCGCCAGAGCTCCGGGGGGCCGGGAGCCCCTCCCCGTGCGTTCGTTACTGTCACGGACGTTACGGGTTCAACGAATAAAAGCACAATTTCCACTACAGTCGGACCGAGGTATAAGATCGAGGTCGGTTCGGGAGGGTACCCCGGTGTCCTTCGTGTTTGTTGGGTGTTCTTGTGTATCCTGGGGAGGGTACCCCTGGATGTGCTGTTTGTTTTGGCCGCCGGAGGGTCTCATGTTCTTGACGGATGTCCTTCTGGTCTAGGTCCGACCGTACACTGCAGTCGTTTGGGCGGTTCCGTGGGGGTGCTTCTGGGGTTAAGTCGGGCCTGTCCCTCTACAGGAGGAATGTTCAAAAATAGTTAAAAAAATAGTCAGGGGACAATTTTGTGAATATCTGTTTGACAATCTCGGGGCATTTTTTGGAAGATGTTTAGTTTTTCGTTGAATATCCCCCTGTAGGAGGACAGGCCCGACTTAACACCACGGCCATGGGCGCGGCTCGAGGGGCTGGCCCGGGCGGGCTCCGGGACGGGTCCCGGGGGGGGGTCTGTTTGCGTTGGGCGAATCGTGGAGGACCTCCCCCTCCTCCTCCTCCTCCTCCTCCTCCTCCTCCTCCTCCTCCTCCTCCTCCTGCTCCTCCTCGGGAGAGGTCCCGGGGGGGGGGTCTGTTTCTGTTCGGCGGATCGTGGAGGACCTTCTCCTCCTCTTCCTCCTCCTCCTCCTCCTCCTCCTCGGTAGTGGTCCTCCTCCTCCTCCTGCTCCTCCTCCTCCTCCTCCTTCTTCTCCTGCTCCTCCTCCTCCTCCTCCTCCTCGTCCTCCTCCTCCTCCTCCTCCTCCTCGGGAAGGGTCCCAGGGGGGGGGGTCTGTTTCTGCTCGGCGGATCCTGGAGGATCGCCACGGGGAGCAGCAGCAGCAGCAGCAGCAGCAGCAGCAGCAGCAGCAGCAGCAGCAGCAGCAGCAGCAGCAGCAGCAGCAGCAGCAGCAGCAGCAGCAGTCCGTAGCCTCGATGGTCATTAGCAGGCACGGCGTCCACGGGCCCCAAGGCTTCTCTTCAAGGCCACGGTGCCCGAGGAGGCACGCGTCAGCAGTTCTGGCGCGGTGCTGCGAACAGAGTATCGTCGGTCGAGGTTGAAGCTTTTCACACTGCAGTGAACGGGCGGCACACGGCGCTTTCGTGAGTACCCAGGGGGGAAGTTTTCGCCCTACAGCCAAGTCGCTGACAGAAGGAACAGTTTGGGTAAGAGAGGGGCTCGATATTCCTTAGGTCCTGCTATGGCTTTTCCTCTAGCCTTCCTCGTGCACGCAGGCGCTTGTGGGGCCAAATAGGGGCTTCGTTCCTTGTTCATCTTTCCTTCTTTCAGCAGCCCGACTGTACTTTTCAAGTTCCTCTGATGCCGATTCCCGTTCTACTGCCGTCGCAGTTTCAGCCCTACCTTATCAGCTTTACTTTTTCGGAGGCATGCATTTCCGCCCAATGTTTCCGCATCGTTTGAGGCGCATGTCCGACACCACTGTATGTCGGAAAATCAACCACAGTGTGCCAGAGCCGAAGTCAGGTGGCTCGCGACGTTTTTCGCTGTTCCCGGCCTCCCGTGCACCCCCCTTGGCCTTGGGAGCGTCAGATAATTCGATGAAGACACAGCGGCATAACCATAACGTTTCGGAGGTCCGCGCGGATTTCTTAGGCCCGTTTCCATCAGAACCGCTCTTGTTGATGCTAATGCCGCTGCACCGCCACCGCTTTTTCCTCGACGGGACCTCCCTGAAGTTGGCGGTTCGCCGCACCACCAGGGGCATTGGCGATGCCGCAGAATATCTTCCTTACGATCGTTGCACCCGCATGTTGCGGACAGCTCAGCGCTGTCCCGAATTCGACACGAGTAAGATGGGGAGTCGATCCGTCACTGCTACCACCATTGCCCTCCAGCACCTGTGCCGCACGCCATCACAAGTCTCTGGGGGACGTGTGCGGTTGTTCGTGGTGTGGGTAGCTACCTGCTGAAGCGTCTCAGCGTCGGGATGATCGCCACCGCGGACCTTCGGCTGGCCAGGCGCATCTCAGTGGCACGCCGTGGGGCAACTTGTGCTGCTGGCGCTCGCGGCCCCAGAGCCCCGTGAAGACACGGTGGCTTGCTGGCCGTCGCAATCTGTGGCGCAGGGAAGAAGCCACCACCGTGGACACTTGGGGCCACCCCGCACATCGGAGTGGCGGCAGCAGTGGCGATGGTGGCCGTGGGGGTGGTGGCGTGATGCCGTCTGCGCGTCCGGCCTCGGCTCGCCGGTCATCGCTTCCCCATGCGTCCCAGGGTTTGGCCATCATTTTTTTTTGTTTTTTTTTTTTTTCGTTTTTTTTTTTTTTTTTTTTTTTTTTTGTTGTTGTTTTTTTTGTTTTGTGTGTGTTGTTTATTTATAGATATATATAGATAGAACAAAAAAGGGTTTGGCCATCAGTTGTAGATGACGTCGGCTCCATCGCATCGGGCTGTCTCCAGCGCGAAGGCGAGCAGCAAGAAGGCGCCCCCCTCTCGCAGCCTCTGGCCCCCCCGCTGGCCAGGCCAGCATGCCAGCGTTGCCTCCCCTCGCCCCCCCCTCTCTCCCAGCATCGTCCGCGCGCAGATTAGCCCTCCAGTTTTCCCGAGGTGCTCGCTGCCAACGCTCTGCCCATCTCCCTCCCCAGCCCCCCCGTCGTCATGATTTTTTCTTCGCGTCGACCCCCAGAGGTCTCGACCCATCCCACGGGGACCAGCCTTTTATCCTGCGCCGCTTTTTGACGGTCCTGGGGCCTCGCGAGGCCCCCCAGGGGCCGAAACACACACAGGAACCTGATACGCCCGTTTTGACACGCAGTGCGTGCCGTGCTTGAAACGTCCGTGCTAACATGCTGGGTGTTGCCTCGTGCTGGCCCCATATTTTTTGGCGCCGGTGTCGCGGCAGGCCTGCGCGTTCAAGCTACGTGTTGAGCTCCTGCGTCAGCACGCCCCCGGGCTGATCGTCGCGCTTCGGGGCAGCTGCGCTCCCGTCTTGCCTTGTTCACGACGCGAGGATGCCTGGGCCTTCGTTTCCGTCGGGCCTCGATCGGCTTGCTTTGTTCACGGCGCGATGGTGCCTGGGCCTTCGTTTCCGTCGGGCCTCGATCGGCTCGGATCGCCGCGAGGGATCAGGAGGGAAAGAACACACAGACACAATTAACTGTCGATTCCCTCGAAAATATAGGAAAATATGGGAAGTGGGGGGGAAAACGACAGCCCAGAAGATCTGGGAACGTGTGGGGAATCCTGGGATCTGTGTGCACATTGATTGGTGCGTCCCTGGGCCCCCCTGCAAGGGAGCGGGGACGCGCTGGCCACGCGGGTCGACCCCGAGGACGGGCAGGAGCTCTCGTTCCAGGACCTCCGCGGGACGGGGGGCGGGGCACGCAGAGCGCTCCGCCGCGGCGCGCGCACCTCCTCCGCAGCCCTCCCGCCCCGGGCGCCTCGTGGCCGTTGTGCGAGGCGAGGCGCTCCCCTGGCGATCCCAAGGGCGCCCTCGAGGGCGCGAAGTGACTCGCCCTTCGCGCGCTTCGCGGTTCGGCTCCGATTCCGCCTCGTCCTCCTCTTCTCCCCTGGAAGGCGGCGCGAGAGCGCGGAGTTGTTCGCACTTCGCGCTTCGCGCAGCGCGAAGCGCGAAATTGGGAGCGCTTGGATCCTGGCGCCGCAGGTCTTTCTTCTTCGCGCCGGGCGCTCTTCGCCAGGTCTCGGGCCGCCATGGGGCCCTGACAGGTCGGTGCGGCCCAGAGGGGTGCCGCAGAGGGATGGGGTCCGGGGCTCCAGTGGTGATCTCTGGCGACGCGTAGCTCTTGTTTCGCGACGTCGGCTCTCAGGGCCCGCGACTTCTGGCACACCGCGGCCTGCCCGGGATGCGCCCCATCAGCGCACCCCGGAGGCCCTCCGGGCCGGCTGCACGCAGGAGTGACACTTCGCCAGAGTGGCCTTCCCAGAGATCCGACGTGTTTTTTTTTTTTTTTTTTTTTTGTTTGTTTTTTTTTTGTTTTGTTTTTTTCTGTTTTCTTTTTTATTGTTTTTGTTTTTGTTGCTTTTATTTTTGTTTTTCGATACGCGCTCCCCGGACGTCTCGACCCATTCCCCAGGACCGGTCTTTCACCCTCCGTCGTTTTTGGACGGTCCCGGGGGGGCCCGCGACGGCCCCCGGAGGCCGAAAGTTGAGAAAAACCTCCGTTCTGATTTTTTGCAAGACGCAGGAGGAGGAGGAGGAGGAGGAGGAGGAGGAGGAGGAGGAGGAGGAGGAGCAGGAGGAGGAGGAGGAGGAGGAGGAGGAGGAGGAGGAGGAGGGTGATTTTTTTCACAGGCCTCCGCCCTCATTCTTCGGTGCGTTGGCTCTCGGGGCCCGCTGCGGGCACACCCGGGGGGCCCCGGAGGGCGGCGCGCGCTGCGACAATGGCAGCGCCTCGGGCGCGCGCTCGGGCTTGGGCGGCCGCACCCGCGGCCCCCCCGCGAGCCGCGCGCCTCGGACTTCGCCCTCCTGCCCGACAGGGCCGCCTCTCTCTGCGCGCGGCCGTCCGGGGGGGGTGTGCTCCGAGGGCAGCCCGAGCACAGCTCCACACAAGGGGGCGCCCTCGAGCCCAGACCTCCTCGCGTCGTGAACAAGATCACGACGGAGGTTTTTCGCTACTTTCGGCCTCCGGGGGCCCTTCCCGGGCCTCGGGACCGTCAAAAAACGACTCAGGACGAAAAACCGGACCCGGGAAATGGGTCTGGACCTCTGGGGGTCGCGTCATGAAAAAATCATGACGTCGGGGGTCTGGGAGGGCGCGAAGTTCTTCGCGCTTCGCGCGCCTCGCGCTTCGCGGTGCGGCTCCGACTCCTCGTCCTCCTCTGCCCCCCCCCTGGGAGGCGGCTTCGAGAGAGAGCGCGGAGGGGTGCGCACCTCGCGCCCTCGCGCAGCGCGAGGCGCGACGTTGGGAGCCCTTGCTGCGCGCCAACGTCCGGGGTGCGCTCCGAGCGCATCCCGAGCACGACTCCGGCAGGCGGCAGGCGCGCGCGGCGCTGAACGCGGCGGCGGCCCCAGCGCGGGCGCATCCCGGGCGGCGCGCCGGCGCTGGCCGGGGCATCGGCCGGTGTCGAGCCACCGGCGGTGCCGAGACGCCGCGAAATCGCGCAAGGGCAAGCGATCCACGCGGTGCCAGGCGCCGACGCCCAGGTCGTCACGGCACGAACCTGCCGGGAGCCTGTTTTTTTTATTGGACTCTGGCAAGGTTACTTGCATGGACGGGGGGGGGGGGCTGCGCCTGGAGCAAGCCCGGGGGGGGGGGGGGCGCGGAAATCGCGCAAGGCGCACACTAGTATTCGCTTGAAGAGGGGCGAGGGGGAGGGGGGCGAACGCCATGCAAGTAAACTTGCCGGAATCCAAAAAAAAGCAGGCTCCGTTCTTTGCCTCCCAGATGGGGCCGGAGCAGATGCGGTCCGCGGGCCGCGCCGCACCGCCGAGGCATCGGCGCTGCGGCGCGGTGTTGAGCCAGGATTCCTCCACGCCCACGGCGCCGATGCGTCACTGACGTCGCCGATGCGTCGCCGATGCGTCGCCGATGTGCGGGCGACGCGGCGCGCGACCCTCCGACCTCAGCTGCTCGGATCCCGGCCGGGAGGCCCCGAGAGCCTCCCGGGCGAGCTGGCGGCAGCGAGTGCCCCCAGCGGTCCTGGCCCCCACCGCGGGGATCGGGCTGTCATCCCGAGCCGCTGTTTAGACGGCCCCCGGGGGCCGAGGGTGGCTTGGCTCCACAGGCCCGCCGCCGTGGTTCTGCCACGGCGCGTGGAGGCGAAGCATTTGCATCGGATTTCGTGCAGAGGAGCGACGTGTGAGGGCTGCGGCCCACGCGCCTTGTCCCGCGCGGGTCGGCATCTTTGGCCAGACACGGCGCATGTGCTTGTCATGCCCATGTCAGCCTCTCCTCCTCCTGCGCCTCTCTCCCTGCTCCCTTGTGTGCCGCCGTTGTGGCTCACAAGGGCCCTTGAGTCACCTGGCGCGGAGGCGACGGGCGCGCACTGGCCCCCGTAAAGGAAAGAGAACGTGCTCTCTCACAGCACGGGTCCCCCTATTTGTACCTCGTGTCTCTCTGTATTCCATAGAGGTACTTCCGTACATTCCACAGTGGCAGCGGAGCCCGTGGTTGCGATCCACAGAGGGAGTCAGTTCAACTCCCCTGTCACTCGATTTTCCGGTGACATACTCCATATTATTCTCCCGCCCTTCCCGCTCCCCACCCTCTTGCACGGCCCCAGAGATGCTGCTGGCAACCAGAGAGGGGGTTGCTGCAGGGAGTTCCCGGCGCTGCGCGCGCCCCCACCAGCCCGTCCAGAAACAGATCTCCAGGGGAGTTGCCGTGGTCAGGGCAGCGTGGACACGCGCAGTAACCGCCTCAGAAGGGTTTTATCGGAGGTCTCCTGGAGGCACTTTGGCGCTCTCTGAGGTCCTCGCGCAGCCTCTTGCGGCGCTCTTGAAGCCTTTTTGGGGCTCCCTTGGGAGCTGTCTTGGGGCCCTCTTGGGGCTCTCTGGGGGGATCTGGGAGGCTTCTCGGGGCCGCCTTGGGGCTTCTTCCCGCTATATTTGAATACAAACGGCGAAGATAACCCACTGTCGAAACCGATTTTTTTCGCAGATCCCACCGGCTCTCTGGTCGTAGGTGGTTTAACCGACTTTGTCTTCTCTCGGCCTAAGCTCCCCCCTTCCCCTGCTCGGGGGATGGGCCCACCCCACCCCGCACCCCCGGGGCCTGGGGGGGGGGGCGGCGGGGGTAGTTAGAACACCCAAAATGGCCCAAGATGGCCTCGAGAGGGCCTCAGAGAGCCCGAAATGAGATGGCTCAAGATACCTCGAGATGGTTCAAGATAGCCTCCGACACGCATCGGCAAGGCCTCATGACGGCCCCGACACGGCGTCGAGCGCCCTCCGAGCCCTCCAAGGACCACCCCGAGACGCCGAAATCTTTCAAACACCCTAGGGAAATCGATGTGCCGTGTCTTTTCGCCTTTTCGCCTTTTCGCATCCGACGGGCTCGCGAGGCCTCAAGACGGCCCCGAGACGGCCCAGGAAACCCCTGAGAGGGGCAGCGCCCAAAAGCGCCCCAAGAGTGCCCAAAAAGGGCCGACGACATCATTTCTGAGCCTCCGAAAAGGGGGGGGGCTGCGGTTGCAGTGCGTGGGAATGAGGTTTCGTATTAGTAGGGGGCGATGTCGATATATATATATATATATATATATATATATATATATATATATATTGGTATATATATATATATTGGTTTGATGGTGAAGGCAAGGCCCTAGAGTCGAACGTGACGAGGATCAGTCCGCGCGAGTATTGGAAGGCGAAGCCAGGATGGGCTGCGGTATGGGGTTGATCAAAAACGCGGAGAAGTATTCGCGAGGGAATTGGAGCTCCAAAACAACCGTCGCTGGTAAGATGGGCAGGCGCAGATTATGCTGGGCGCAGGAACAGTCGCACATAGACCTGTGGGGGGTAATGCTGTGGGGGGAGTACCACGTCAAATCTTGGAGCGCCAGGCAGAGCTTTATACGTCTATGATCTGGGGAAGCAGAGTTCTATGGGATGGTTAGAGGAGATTCAGCTACCCGCACGGCTAGTTATCAAAAGCGAGGGAGCGCAGCTGTCTTTGGCAATCAGGAGGCATTAGGGCACGTGAGGCGCAGTGGAATCTGCAACGTTGGCTGCGAGAGAAAGTGAGGAGAGGCGGCGACGAGGTAGTAATACTTGGCACTGGCGACGACGTGGCTGATGCATCGACTGGGTGAGTTCAGGTCGATGCGCTCAACAAGCACATGCGAGAGCTCGCTTGCGAGGAGGACATCAACTGGCACATGCCGCTGACTGCTGACGTGCTGCGGCTATTTGTGGCCCACATTAACCGTTCGCAGCCCAATTTCATTTTTGTTGTTGTTGTTGTTGTTGTTGTTGTTGTTGTTGTTGTTGTTGTTGTTGTTGTTGTTGTTGTTGTTGTTGTTGTTGTTGTTGTGTGTGTGGCGAGCATCGGTCCTAGGGGGCCGGCTGATCCGAACCCGCGGGGGGTTGGCGACATCGGGGGATCCAGAGGCCCCCGTGCAGATCGACGGCAAGGCCGCGGCGTTCATGGGCGTCGACTTGGGGGCGGTAACCCCAGACCTCCTCGGGTTGTGAAAAATTCACGACGGGTTTTTTTTCGCTATTTTCGGCTTCCGGGGGCCCTCGCCGGGCCTCGGGACCGTCAAAAAACGACTCAGGACGAAAAACCGGTCCCGGGGAATGGGTCGGGACCTCTGGGGGTCGCGTTATGAAAAAATCATGACGTCGGGGGTCTGGGACGTTAGATCAAGTTCTTGGCCGGCTCGGCGACCGGACTGGCGCCCTCGAGGCCGTCGCCCTCGTGCGCAGGGCGCAGATATCTCTGTAACGTGCGCCCGGGTGAGGTTTGCCGCGTGAGCGGTCGCGCGTAGCGACGCGGACGGGAAAGGCCACGACTTCGAGGCCCGCGTCGAGACGGCAGTCGCCGACGTCGAATCGCCGCGCCACGTCAGCGGATGACCAGGCTGGCGAGTTTAAAGGCCAGGAGATCGCGGGCAATCTGGCTTCCATCGTGGAGCTATCGCGTCGGAATCCGGGCGGGGTGGGGCAGTTGCCAGGCCAGCCCATCGCATCCCCAAAGCCGTGGTGTCTGCGGCGTTGGGTGAGATCTGAGGCCGGGCTTCCTCTGTCGCTCATGGCGTGTTGGCCGATGCTACTATCGTGGGTCCTCCAACCTGTGCTGGGGCGTTATCGCCGCCCTCGCCGCAGGCGCTGCCCATGGATGCGCCATCGAAAGTGGCCGGTGGCGCGCAATTCCATCGGGCCGGTCCAGAGGCCGGGCTGCCAGCTATAGCGGCGCCGACGCCCGAGAAGGCACCCCCCTCCGTTGAAGCGGGAGGCAAAGAAGGACACCTTCGAGAAATGCCGATCCGTCTGCAAACTTTCGGAAGGGCCCATGGCCCGTTCCCGAAGCCGTCCGCCCAGCGGCGCAGGCCGCAGCCGCGGCGGCGAGCTAGCTGGTGGCCCGAGCGGATGCGGTTTAGCGCCGCCGCCAGTTGGAGCAGCCAGACCTCCGACATAACCCCCCACTCTGGGGGCGCTAGCCGAAGCCAGGGCCGCGGCCATCATCGCCGAAAGCCGTCGGCCGCAGCTGTGCGCTGGTGCGGTTTAGCAAGAGGATGATGATCTGCGCGGCCCTCGCTTTGCTTTCATTCAGAATCTCGCTTCAAGCCGCGCGCAACTTTTGGCGCAATTTCCGATGGATGATTGCCGAGAACGTGGACTTATCGACCCTTCGGGGCAGCTTGCTGTTCAGATCCAAGTACGCGTTCCGCTGCGATGGCGCCTGCTGGACGTTGCCGTTGCCGTGCCGGGAGGGCCGCCCACGTGGCGGGACGAGCTGACTGGCCGCCGACTGGCGTCTCGCGACGCATGGATTGTACAGGTTAGCCGTATCCAGTCCAAGTTGTCCCAGAACAGCCGCGCGCCGCGGGACCGGGGGGGCCTCGGCCCCGTCGTTCGCCGCGCTCGACGTTGCTCCCGGCCAGGTCTCCATCAAAACGCCCCCAGGGCGTAAGTCCCCATCCAGGCCGCCCATGAGACGCGAGAAGATGAGTTGATCGATCTGTTCGGTATGATGTTCGGAAAACTGTGGGCAGGCGACCTCGTCATCCTCGCGGCGAAGGCTATCCGCGAAGGTCCCGCGCCAGCTGCGGTGAGATCCGCGCCGCCACTTTTACCGGGGGGTTTGCGACGGAAGAGTCTCCAACTTTTTGATTCAGCTGACGGATGGTAGGTGATCTAGTAAGAGCAATGCAATGCCCCCGAGCAGTGTTAATGGAGATGGGGCGCGTGCTCCGCGCCGGGCTCCCGGCGCGTGCCGGTGCCGCGCGGGGCCCAGAGTCGCGTTATATATCGCGCGCCCATCGTGCAGTTGATGCTCGCCAACACGCCTTCCCGTGAGACAGTGCTGGAGTACGCCGCCGCGACAAAGGGAGAAAGGAAGCCGTTTGCTGGCAGGCCTGGTTGCCAGCATTCGATTTCGATCTCTGGGTTAAGGTAGCAGGCGGATGGCGAACCCCATCGCCGGCAATTCGTTGTTCAGGATGAGGTGAGATATGCGTGCGGTCTTCCCCTGTTGCCTGTGCAATCTGGATCGTTCGTATTTGGGGAGACGATGGGGCGTGGCGAGAACGTGGCGGACAGGGGCATGAAGCCGGTTACGCACCACGATTGCGGCTGCCGGGTTCGCCGAGAGCGGCGCGCTGAAGCAAGCCTACCTGGGGATGAGGTTATCAAGCCGCCCAGTTTCAGGTCAGACAGTGCCCTTGTGCAGGTTAGATTGTAGTGCGGCCGCGCGACCGCTCCTCAGAGGCTCGCCAGCCGCCGTGACCAGCGCCAAGTTGTTCTCTTTCTCTTTCTTTTGCCTGTTAGCTATTGCCACTACCGAACATGTTGAACAATTGCGTAAGTGTGGACTTCGAGACATTTAAATAGCGTCTCGCGTGTTGGGCCCCCCCTGCGCGCTGCGCGTTCACGCCCAAACCATCGTCGCCTGTTGGCTGCACTTGTCATATATGTTTCCGATTGGTTCCACATCGCTGGGTTGGGGATTCGGGGCTTACCTACGACTGTGCAGAAGTACGTCTCGTCCAGTTTGTTTGCTTTCTATTTGGCCAAACTGGGCCGACGGGAGGTGTTAGAACATGGCGTTGCGACCGGTTGAACAAGGCTATGCTTGATTAGTGGTCAAACGGATGTCGTTGCCAACGCCGTTTGGGTCAAGTGGCCAAGTAGTGCACGTATCGTTCGTTGCCTTGTATCAATCAAGATAAATCCGTTCTCGTGCAGATCCTCCTCGGGAGTTTGCAGGAGGAGGAACACCAGCAGCAGGAGGAGGAGGAGGAGGAGGAGCAGGACGCAGGAGGAGGAGAAGTAGGAGCAGGAAAAGGAGGAGGAGGAGGAGGAGGAGGAGGAGGAGGAGGAGGAGGAGGAGGAGGAGGAGAAGGAAGAGGAGGAGGAGGAGGAGGAGGAGGAAAAGGAAACGGAGGAACAAAAAGGAGGTGGTGGAGGAGGAGGATGAGGAGAGGAGGAGGAGGAGGAGGAGGAGGAGGAGGAGGAGGAGGATGAGGATGAGGAAGAGGAGAGCGCGGAGGAACGAGGAGGAGGAGGAGGAGGAGGAGGAGGAGGAGGAGGAGGAGGAGGAGGAGGAGGAGGAGGAGGAGGAGGTAGAGGAGGAGGAGGAGGAAGAGGAGGTGGAAGATTCGCCGGTGTGATTTTCGTGAACGCTGCGGCCCCAGAAACCCCGATTGGTCCCCTGGGATTGTTTTTCGTCCCGGGTCCGTTTTTTGCTGGCCCCAGGTCCCGTAAGCGGCTCGTGGAGGACCGAAATCGAAGAAAAACCGTCGAGTTGGAACATCATATCGTCGGAGCTTTGTGACCATGTCGGCGCACCCGAAGGAGCTGGTGGCCAAGTACAAGGGGACGTACTCGCAGGAGGAGCTCTCGGCTTAGCTGCCCTGATGCGCGCGTGTGGAAACGCATCACGTCCCGTGGTAAACACGTCTCACGTCTCACGCACGTGTTGGCCCACGTGTTTGCGGATGCATCGCTTCAGATCTGCATTTTCAATTGAGCTGGGTGTCAACAAGCTACGGGTTCCCTGACCTCGGATCCTGAGTTTTTGGGGCGATTCCGAGGGTGGGACGGGAATTTCCGCCCAGTTTTGCAAGTTCCTTGGGTGCCGAGTCCTGCCCCACTTTGCGTTGCCATTTCCGCCATACCCTTGCGGAAAGATCCGCCCTGTTTTGTTCTGAGGCGGGCGTTCCCGCCATTTGTTTCATATGTTTTGGGGTGCATGTGCGACGTAAGTTTGACGTGAGGCCCCTCCTTTTGCCTTCCCCTGTCTGTCAATTAAAGCTGTGCGCGGCCCGCTTAGCTTCGGCCGGAAGAGGTGCGCTCTCGACCCGCGGATCAAAAAAATGCGACGTTACGTTGGCACTTTTTTGTGGGTCCGCGGATCTCCCAGGTGACTGGGCCCGCCCGCCCCCCATCCCCCAAGGATGTGCTGACCTTGACGGTTTCGCATGTCCGACGGGGGTGCGACAAGTGACGAGTCACATGTGCCAAGTTTGTGCCGTTTGGTCCCCCTTCGGACTCGCATGCGTGCACGCATACAGACTTGCGTGCATGCATGCAGGTGTGTGCGCCCTCCATTTCGTAGTCGTCATCCTCATCCTCGCCGTCATCACCGTCATTCTTATCGTCATCCGTTATTGGCATCACCGTCATCACCATCGTCATCGTCATTCTCATATTCACCGCCGTCAGTGGATTTGCCCCATCACCGTCACCATCATCGTCATCATCATCATCATCATCATCAGCAGCAGCAGCAGCAGCAGCTTTATCATCATCATCATCATCATCATCATCATCATCATCATCATCATCATCATCATCATCATCATCATCATCATCATCATCATCATCATCATCATCATCATCATCATCATTATCCTCATCATTATCATCATCAGCATCATCATCATAATCTTTGTTCGTGCCGAAGCTTCGTAAGTATCGCCCCCTCATCTTCATCCGGATCGCTTTCATCGTCACCCTGATCGTTTCCATCGTCATTACTTTTCAAACAGTTGCCTCGGTCGGTCCCCAATGCGGTCTGCCCGCCCCCGCGCGTTCCGCCTGCGTTTTCAACGATGGCCCTGTCCTCTGGAAGCGAAGGCTTCCAACCAAGCGCCTTCCCGCTTTGGCCCAAGAGGCGAAGGCTTCCAGCCAAGCGCCTTCCCCTCTTCCGTGGGCGGCGGGGAGTTCTGGCCGCCTGGCGGTTCTTGTGAATCCGCCGTTGTGGTTTACGAGCCTTGGAAGGAGGACTCGAGCGAAGACCCGCAAGCACCATCACGTCATGTACGTCGCCATGCTGATAGACTTCGACGGCATTGCTTGACAGTTTGAGTCCACAGTCATGGGCGTCAGCGCGGGGAGCGACGATATGCGTCGTGCTGTCTTGCTCGCTTTAGCAAGGGGCGAGGAGCGTTCGCAATTCCTCCATGCGTCTTGGTCTTCTATATAGGCGCGCTTATGATACCATATTGGACACCAGGTTCGACGCGAGGGTATTTGTCGGCATTGCGTGGCCGCGATTGATTTGTGGAACTGGTATCCGTATTGTATCCAACGTGGAGCAACTCTGGATGATGACCGCATCATCGATTTGTCGTGCCACGATGCGTACAAGAGTTTCTTCGACAATGGGGGTCCTCATGGCTGCCAGCCTGCAGGCGACCGCGTCGCTTGCGACGTCGAAGGGCGCTTCTCCTGCAAGGCTCAGGCTCTCGACGCCCGCGAAGAGCTGCTCGATCGGAGGGGGGAGCTACGTTCCAGGTCACGAGCGCGGTTGACCTCGCTTCGGGGGGAGTACTTCGACCGCTGCTCGAATTTCGGCGCGCGTTGGCTCCGAGCAAGCTTGGGCGGGCGTTCCCTGAAGTCGAGGATGATGTGGAGACGCCGTGAGAGACTACCAAGGATACATTCGATGATTTCGACGGGAGGCTCTGGCGCGCGAGTTGCGGCGCAATGGCCGAGGCGCCAGGGACGCCGTCGATCAATCCAGGCAGGCTTCCGGCCAACTGGGGGCCAAGTCCATGGCGGCGGGGGCCGTGCCATGTGTGCCCGCGAGGGCGCCGCCGTCGCCGGCCGACGAGAATCCAGGGCCGTGGCCGCCCGCGCGGCTGCGCAGGCGGCTCCTCCAGCTCCTCTTCCTTCTCTTACTCCTCCTCCTCGCCGCGGAGGCCCCTCCCCGTTCTCGCGCGCGCGCGCGCCCCCCCCCGGCAGGCGCTCTTTTCTCTTGCCTTCTTCTGCGGAGATGGCGGCTCCTTCCGCCGCGTCGTAAGCCGCCCCCGCCGCCAAGTCGAAGGCGCCCCCGCCCCCGCCGCCGAGCGGTTCGGCGACGCGCTCCCGCGGCCGGCGGCCAAGTGTTTCGAGCGGGGGCTGGGGGGCCGGCCAAGTCCGGGGCCCCGAGTCATCTATTTCGGCGAGCACGGCGAAGATGAGGTCGAGTAGGCGGGCGAGGTTGATGGGTTTGATGGCCGGGCTCCCAGCCGAGTTCAGGCGCTCCAGTCGCAGCCCCAGCTGTCGCCCCTGGGGGCCCGAGTCGTTGCGCCAGGCGCCGCCCCCGGCGCCGCCCCGACCGGGGCCCCGACCGGGGCCTCGCCACGTGCGCGGCCCTCGGCGCCCTGGGCGCGACCGTGGCAGGTCGCGAAGTCATCTGCGTCGACGATGAGCCGAGGATCGCCTTCGCGTTGGGCGAGGAGGCCCGCGCTTTCATCGCGCAGTTTACGGCGCCGCTTGCGCGCGGTGCGCGAGGTGCTTCGCCGGCCGGCGAAGAATCCCAGCGGCCCGAACGCAAGTGCTTCGAGCGGGCCCGCGGCGGAGTTGCAGGCGCGCGCGTGCCAGCTCCGAATCTGCGCGCGCGCGTGAAATTGGGCAACCAGGAATGCGAGAAAGAGAAGCCGCCGGCGCTGGTGCGCGGTGAAGCTGTGGGGCGAGGTAGACGATTCCGCGCGCAGGAAAATGCGTGATTTTCGCTTGGGGGCCCTGGGCTGCGCGTGAAGGGCACGCGCGGCGACGGCGGCAGACGGCGATGTCGGATGCAAGCTGGCGGCTTCCAGCCGACGTTCAATTCGGTGCTCCGATCTGCGTGCGCGTCTGGGGAAACGGCGCCGAGGGCGCGTTCATTGTGGACGCCGAGCCGCAATTTGGGATGCCTGTGGCGTCTAGGGTCGCAGGCGCCCGCGCCAGGCTTGTCGCCGGGCATGCGGCCACATGCTTGTTCCGTGGGCGCCGCCGCCAGCGGCTGCTGCGCCGAGTTGAAGACCCAGAGGGAACAATTTGGGGCGCAGAGGGTCAGAGATACATTGCGAGACCAATTGTGCCAGTTGTGCCTCCAGTGTTGTGCCTGTTGTGCCTCCGGTTTTGTGCCGGTAGCGGCGCCGGTGTTGTGCCAGTTGTGCCTCCGCAGACCCGGGTGCGCGCGTCGTCGTCGTCGTCGTCGCCGACGCCGTCGCGTGGGCGCGAATCATTTTAAGAGGAACGCCCAGCTCCTGCAGGCAGTGGCTTCGCTCGGATGTCCTCGGCGTCGCCGGCCGCCCCGGCGCCGCGCGGGCGGGCGGCGACGCCCCGTGCGCGTGCTGCGGGGGGTTCGCTCCGTGAGGGCTTCGACGACGTCATCAGGTTGCGCTTGTCCAGGCCAGTGCCGCTTCGCCCTGCTGCCGTGGACATCGCGGCCTGCGAGGGCGAGGTTGCTCGTGGGGGCGGTGGGCGCGCTGAGACTGCGTGCGCAGAGGCTTCCAGCCGAGCGGCAGTGGAGTTTCCAGCCATGGACGCCGCAGAAGAAGATCTCCTCGGAGACGGTCTCATGGAGGCGCCGAAGCGCGACGAATCCAAGGAGGCACGCGAGGCCGACGTGGCGCTTCGGCAGCCGGGCCGCTAAATCGCCAGTCCCGTATCCGAGGACTCAATCTGCGTTTCAAACATCTATCTGGAAAACAGAAGGGGATTCGAACGCGCCGAGCATTTCGACGAGCGCCGCCAGCACGCTCCGCGGCGCGAGCCAGTTCGGAAAGAACTGTCTGGCGCGTGGCCGCAGAAGCTCTTTTCGCATTGGAGCTAGCAGGCTTCCAGACAAAAGACCATGGCGACGGAGACCCGCCAGGGGACTCTGATTTCGAACCATGAGACCATGGTGACATTCATCTGTGAGACTGTGAGACCATGGCGCCGCTGCCTATGGAGTTCGAGGATTTCGAAGTTGCCCTGTGAGCGCGGCCACAGGCCTTCCAACGTGATCCCGAAGCTGTCCAGATGGCGCGAGGAACTCAAGCGCAGGCCCAGCCGCTCTCGTCGGGCAAGCGCTAGTCGGGTGCAGGCTCGTGGAGCGATGGCTCTCCGCCGACGGGAAGTACTTGCGCGGCCAGTGCAATTCATGCGCAGCGGGGTTCTTGCGTGGTTTGTTGCAGGAGATGTTCTCGTTCCGGGGCCGATGCGAGGGCGCGAACATCACGTCAACGTCATCGTCGAATCAGCCTGGGCAGCGTCTGCCGAATGCCACCGCTCGAGGGCGCCGCCAGCGCGTCGAATCTTCGCATCATCGCAGCACCGCCATCATCCGATCAGCGGGCTGAAAACTTTGGCCGCGCTGCCCTCCGCCATGTCGAATGAAGCTGTGGAGCGATTGCCGCTCCCGAAGCAAGCTCCTCGCCTCGGTCCAGGCCTGCAGCCGGGCGCGGGCCTTGACTTTCGCCGCCATGCAGAGCCGTAGTGGAGATCGATGGGGGGCCCGCCTATCGCCGCCAGCATGTCTATCACCCGCCCCAAAACGTGGGAGCTGCTATCTCGCGCGGGGAACGGGTCATTGCGCGCGTGGATGCGCGGTGCGGGCAAACCAGGGCAGGCGACATCCTGGATTGCATGATCAGCGAAC